ATTTCCTGCTTTCAAAGCCACAGAGTGCTGCTGACGAACTTCCAGGAATCTGTGTGCCATGGCATGGAGATGACAAGCAGTGTCATCTGGGACCCTGCCTAAGCCATGCTGCTGGGCTGGAACAAAATCATGGCTTCAGACCATGCTCTGCAAGCCCCTGCCTCAAAGCACGATGTACAGATGGGGGCAGAAATCAGGAAAGTTACTCAGAAATATAAACATTAAGAAGGTGTGTGGTTTTCAAAAAGCAAATTGCAGAGTTTACAATAGATCAAGTTTTGAAAACTTCAAAAGTGTGGAAGTTTCCCCAGGGACAAGCAAGCAGCTGTCTGGCCCGAGGGCAGCTCCTAGGAGGGCTGGCAGTGGACCAGGCACTCAGCCTGCACACCAGCAGCAGCCCAAGCACACTCCATGCAATCAGACAGCTCTGCTTTCTTAAGGGAAACTCCCAGGAATGCATCCATCTCACTGGAACAACACAGGGCTGCTGTTCCATGTATCTGCTAACATTCTTATTTAAATACTTCTTGAAATACAATTTCCTGCCTTTAAAATTGTCTCAAAACACATATATACCCAGACAGTTAAACAACTTTCAAATGGTACATAACAGGAAAATTTGCCCATGAATCTAATGTATCCTTGCTTTCATGGAACAGAATTGTTTGCTTAGTCATATGTAACTGGTGAATTCTGTGATGATTTCTGTTTAAAACTCATTTAGAAGACATACAGTCTGAAATTTCAAACACACTTGAAATCAAAGTTTCATTCACAGTGCAAGATCAAACTCTGTCAAAGGAACTAGTTTTTGATCTTTTTTACCTTGAAATATGTCTGGAACAGACATAATTTACTTTCCTGTATCTACATGGTTTTCCATCCCACTTTCTTCAGACCTCTCCTTGCAGGATCTAAGTCAGAACCTCTGCACAAGTTGGAAAGTCAGTTGGCTCCAATTAGGAACAAAAGGAAAGAATGCTCGAGGAAAGCTTCTCTGACTGGGAATATCCTGACTTTTAATTCTCCCTTTCATGGAGCAGGATCCCTCTTGATGTCCTTTCATGGTGGAAGGAGAGGTGATGGGAATACTTGCCACTGAAAACCAAATGATTTGCTGTTTCCACACCTGTGCTTTTCTTAAAACTGTTTCTCTATTTTAGTGTCCCACTTGCATACTGTGTCTTTCTCTGTGGTGGGTCAGTCTCCAACTACCAGCAAAACAGCCTTTAAAGAACCCTCTATAGCAAGATTTTTCAACACAAAATACAGCAAAAATGTACAATAACATTAGCAGCACTGAGCAAGTTTTTCACATTCCAAATGAAAATTTACATTGTTATTTCCAATTAGAGAGAAAAAGGGTATCTTCCTCCTGATATTAGTAAATCCTCATATAAATTCAGCTATTTACATTCATTCCCTATTATCTATTTTATGTCTGGTTTATATACAGTAAGGTACATTTCTTGAGTATAAGTTTTAATGTAAAACCTCAAAGATTAATGTTCTACTCATAATTGCGTTTATCTGTATTTATAGACTTACAATCTGTATTTATAGACTTACACACCTTTAATTAAGCTCTGCTTTTCATTTGATCTTTTCCCTTAAAGCATACAGGTATCTTAAAGGGCTAATATCAACAATTTTTTTTCTGTAGAAAGAAGCTGAACCACTAACACTGGCTCCTTCTCACTCCTCCCTTTTCTAATCACTCTCAGAGATATTTCATTTAATTTTGAACATCTACTCTTTGGTAAATAGGTTGGTCACCAGGCTCAAAACCCCATGGAAGATAAATAATAATTAAAACCAAAAGTCACATAAGACAGGAAGAATTACTAAAACCATATGAAGAAGAAGAAAAAAAAAGAGTTTAAAGCTTTTTTGTGTCCTTCATTTTCTGCTTCACTGTAAGGACTGCACATACTGCATGGAAGCTATCTATGGGTTCTGCAGAAGCTCACAGATCCAAGTCCACAATAAGGCTTTTTACATCAGTAATGCAGAATGTAGGGGACAAGAACAAGCTACTCATTTTAGCACTGTGTGTTCTCACCCAGATTTCTAATGGCCTAGTACAGAGTAACAAACAACAGCCCAAGGAAAAGCCCAACAGGACTAATAAGATTAGCAACCTAAGCACTGGGTCTTTTAAACACAGTTTACTAAAATATTAATCTATTTTACTATGTTTGTTTACTTTCCCCATATATAAAGAACCACAGAATAATTTACATCTGAAAGGACTCCACTCAAAGAGGAACTAACTTCAACATTACATCAGCTTGCTCAGGAACTGTGCAGTGAGTTCTGAGCACCTCCAGGGCTGGAGATTCCACAACCTCCCTGGGCAGCCTGGCAGCTGACAAGAATGAAATGACAAGGAACCCAAACAGAAAGTCAGTTTGGTATTCTGAGATACAAATATATCTCTGCAATATTTGTATTTCTACAAAGCAACTCATGTTCCCTTTATGTTTTCTCTTCTGAAGTAATTTTTGTGTCATATAGTTGTTTTCTCAGTACATCTCAAATTATCAGATTTATGTAACAATATTTTAACCTAACTTCTCTTTGGTTTTTTGAACAAAGCTGTCCATTTTCTGACTTCTTTTTAAAAGAATATTTGTGCTATATGCCTCTAAAAAGAAGACTATGTAAATACTTATATTTTTGTTCCTTCTCCAGTCTTTCACAGGAATACTGTAATAATGCCAACACTGCTTCTTCCATGGCTTCACACACTGAAAAAGCTCAGAACAGAGATTCTATTACTTCTGCATATTCATACACCCTTTCTTTTAATGTGTTTGGTGCAAAGCTGTCTATTCTCAGACACTCCAGCTGGCATTTTAATCAGAACAGTGTGAGTACATGGCTATGGCTCATTTTAAGTCCCCTTTTACAGACCTGTTCATATAAAATATAAAGATATTTTACTTTATATATACAAAATATAAAGATATTTAAATTATTTTAAATATACTTATATATCAAAAATATATTTCACATGAGAAAGTCATTTAACCAAATTTGCTCAATTTTTCATCTTTTATTTGCCAACTAAGCCCTCCCCCCCCACCCCAGCACTGAAATCTGAATGCCAGAGAATCAAAATACACTTTCTCATTCAGACAGGAAAAACATTACTATTTTTCCCATTACTTCATATTGGAAACTCTTCCCAAGATCAAAACTGGTAAAAAATTGAGCTGAAGGTTAAATTAAAATTTATCTGACACCAACAATGGCCTGGTTGCAGGCCAGGACAAGAAGCCAAAATTACACCAGTGATGAGCCCTGCAGTTAGTGGAGAGATGGAAGATAACCATCTACATTCTTCTTCTTCTGCGAGATCTTACCAGCTCCTGAGAGCATAAAATCAGGTGGGACAAAAGTCTGACACAGCAAGGGTTAGGTGTGTCTCCAAACCTTTAAATGTGGCTCTAGATGGAGTAGTTGGTTGAAGGGAAACTTCTGCCCCAGTCTCTACACTCAGAGCATTAAAATTGATCAAACTCCCATTTGTTTTCCCTACTCCTCCCAGAGCCCACTACCTCCACTTCTCCCTAGCATTCTCTCATGATTTTACACCCAGTATTCTGTTCCTCTCAGGCCCACCTATTCCCTGGTTTTTCTCACCATAATACCCACTTGAGCTCCCTAGCCCTCCCACAGGAGAAGCACTGAGCTGCAAGCCTCCAAATCTGCTAGATGATTTCCAAGGCAGTTGCACTCCCCAGCCCCCATAATTGGCAAGGAGTAATATTGTATACACGGAGTGCAGTTATCAGCAATCAGTCCAGATGAGACTGCAGAGGAGAGAAAGATACAAAAAAGAGGATGCTTATTTTCTCTGTGCTTTGGATTCTTCCAGAGGGAATGTTCCAAGAAATTATGGGAGGGGAATTCTAACTGCAGCAGTGTTCTTACCAGCAGATTTTCCCCAAAGTTAATATGCTGACATGAAGATATTACAAAACTTAGTTTGACAGCAATGACTAAATTAGATGGCATCAAGTTTATTTGTCCTCTGCCACACACACACCTGCAAGTCAACACAACTAAGGTGGCCCAGTCCTAAGGAGATGAACTATGGTAGTATGTGGGGACCAAGAAATGCATTTTAAAAGCTCTGTCAGCACAACACTATTTCCTTGGACAATACAGATGCTCCCAATTAGTGAGTGCCAGCTCATCATTCAAACTAAATTATTGTGGAGAACCTGTATCAGTTTTCATACTAAACACAGTTACAGAGGACTATAGCACACCATATGACAGGGACAAGCTTATCAGCTTTACTGTAATGTACTGCAGAATTCTGGTCCATGGTGCAGAATCTAAACTTCTTCAGGGCTAAACCACAGAAATCTCATAGAAACCAGGAGGTCCCAGGAATTTCAGTTCCACTCAGTATTGAGGATAAAAGCAAATATACCAAGTTTTATCACTGACAAAGGTTAGAAGAAGTCAAAACCGGTCTCCCTGTTTCAGCTCAGAAGAGGGTGTAATGTATTAGCTAGATTCTGTTTCCTTTAACAGACACTGTAACACAGAGGTGCTTCCATTACACAGAATGGATGTACAGACATATTTTAGTACTATCTAAGGTGAGGAGACTAACAACAAGTGATTTTAATAAGCTTTTGAAAGTTTACAGACCTGAGTGGCATTTCCTTTGCTTATGGCTAACAGTTCTGCATTATAGAGCACATCCAACTCAAACCAGGTAATGAAGGTTTTTACTTTCTTCATTTTGATGAAGCGAGGAGTTGAAAACATAACATTTTAAGTAAAACTTTTCTTATTAAAAAAAACCAAACCAGAAATAGAAAATTTTAGCAACAATTGTTCTTTGCTTTAATGACCTCATCTCTCAAAAATAATTACCTTAAGAGAAGAATGACTACTTTTTTTCTTACTAATAATGTGGGAGCCTACATTACACATATTCAGTCAATGTGTCCTCTTAAAAGATCTAAGATACTTACGGAGTCCAAACCTTCGGAAAGGCAGCGATTTCTTCTGGTGTATATTCATCTAATCTCTTGGGGACTGCACGTGGCTGAGGAATCTCTTGTAGAAGGTTCTTCTCTATATCTTCTGGAATAACCTGAGACAGGTGAGAATAGTCCTAACTACTTGACTGTTTAACAAACACCACCCCTGCCCACAAAGCCAGACCAAAATTTGTCAATAGTACTGCATTCTTCATGCTAAGTGTTTGACCTAAATACACCAATCTCATACGTCCTGAATCTCTGTGAAATAATATGGAAAACACCCCAACTACATATAAATATATATATATATATAAAAAAGCAGTGCGATTTTGGTTTTAATTTACTTGCTTATGACATGGGTGCTATTGCTAACACTCCCTCTTCACCTCTATATAACACAAGGATGAAAATGTAACTGCATGGCTACTCACATCTTCGGGGAACAGGTGTAGCCTCTGCATCAGAGTTCTTCTCTGAAGGTTTTTTGGAAGCATTCTATAAACAGCCAGTTTAACAATCTGGGGAAAGGTAACATAGTAACAATTAATCAGGGAGGTTACCCATAACATGAAATAGGTTAATTGTGTTTCCATCTGTCCACACTGTTCATCACTGAAGCTCTTAGTCATCTTTCAGCCTGAGGAATTCTGGCACCACATTCAGAAGGAGCTCTAGACTTAAATTTAAAAAAAAGAAATACTTACTCCTTGTCATATAAACACTTATTTTAAGACTCATGTAGAAAATTTCAGCTTAGAAAGTCAAGAGCTATATTTTGCTTTTTTTGTGGATGACTGCGTATGATCTTCAAAGAATTGAGAAGCTTGTGGTAACTCTGTATTTTATTGCACATTTACATACACACATTGTTTAGGAAAAAAAAAGTGCTTAAACAAATTTCCCAAATTTCCAAGCAACCAGTTTAACAGTGTAATTTGATGTGTTTAAAACACTTTTATAATTAATGCTTTGTACCTTAAGCAAAGCTGACATACCAAAACACTGCATTACAAACTTACTATTTATATTTATAACCCTTGCTATTAGTTCCAGATGAACAATCTCACTTCTAAACATCAGGAACAAATAGAATTTGTACATCTACTCTAGATGATGCTCATTGTAAAGTAAACAAATTTCAACAGGATTTTCTCTTGGACTCTAGTAAAGATGCCTTTTATTTAAATACAAATCACATTGTTATGTACTTCATCCAGAAGGGGAACATTTGTAAATGTAAAACAACGCACACAACTATAGGAGAGAAAAAAGGCTTCATGAAGGACAGCAAAGCACTTAGAGCTAGACCTATGTGCAATTTTGTAAGTAAAATGTTTGCTCCAAGACACGTGGACATAAACTAGCTCCAAATCAAAAAGTATCCAGGCATGTTTAGTGCAGCACCAAGCTCAAGCCAATAAACCACACTGAAATGCAGGGCACTAAGCACAAAATTCGCAGGCACCTGGATATTTTCCGAAGTGTATTGAGCAAAACTACTTCTTTTTATAAAATTAACTAAAGGGATTCAACTGAAATTTTAGAGACAGTCACCAAGTTCCCAGGTGGAACCATATTAAGATAAGATTTTCAGGTGTTATGCAGCCAGTACCTGCATAACACCAGCCAGTACCACCATAAATCTGTGGACAAATGCAATAAATCAAGATGGCAGGAGAAATATAGCAGGTCTTGCAGATTAATATACAGTTTTGATACCTTCTCTAATAAAAATTAATAAGCATGTATTAAAAATCAAAGATGAAAACTAACGCTTTTTAGGATAAAAATTATTCATGCTTGTAGAACAAACTATAATTCATTTAGGTCAGTATACTATGTGTTCTGTGACTACAGGTCTTGATAAAAGGTCTGTTCCCATCTATTCTGTAAACCCCCTTTATATACTTGGAAGGCTCACAATAAGCTCTCCCCAGAGTCCTTTCCTCCCTAGGTTGAACAACTCCAACTTTTCCAATCTCTCCTCATAGGAGGGGTGTTCCATCCCTCCCATCATTTCTGTGGTCCTCCTCTGGACCTGCTCCAAGACATCCATGCCTTTCCTGTGCTGGGGGCCCCAGAGCTGGACATGGTGCTCCAGGTGGGGCCTCAGCAGAGTGGAGCACAGGGGCAGAATCGCCTCCCCCACCCTGCTGCCCACGCTACTTTGAAAGCAGCCCAGGATTCTGATTTACTGCAAGGTCATTAGTCCAACTACAGAGCACAAGGCTAAACAGGGAGCCAGGACACAGAAGGTAGTGCTGGAAAAATTCCTTCATCTTAACTTTTGGCTCAAAGACTCTCCTCCAAGCCAAAATAAATCCAAGCCCAGCTACTGGAAAGACCAAGCTTAGATCCAACTTCTTGCCCAAAATTCTGCCTACAGCCATAACTCCACTTTCACTGCTGTGGTGTCAAGTCAAAAAAATCAGTAAAGCACAAGCTTAAGTGAAGTTGTACAGATTGCTTTTGCACCTTGAATAAGGCTGTGCCACAGAAAAGGCAGATCCAACCAACAATACTTGCAAAATGTTAAGTAAGTAAGGGCTCTTCTGTTACCTGAACATGCTCAAGTTTTACTAAAAATAGACCAACCCTAAATAAAAAAGTATGGAATTGCAAATCTGCTACTGAACTCACACGAAACCCAAACCTGAAAACACATATCAGCACACGTTGTTTCTTTCAGGAATTAACAATAAAATGCCTTTTTTTACATGCCTGTAATACGCTTCTAATAAAAAACAAACCTTACTGCTTTCTATGTCATTATGCTTACTTCAAGCTATTAAAAAAGCAAGAGTTTAATTTAACATGGAAGTTAAAAAACCTAGTGATTTCTGTGGAATCTCAGACTGGCAGAGGGCTCTACTCACACACAAGTCTCACTGCAACCTTGATCTCATTTTGAAATGAATTAGCACAGTTTAACAGTTTATTCAGTTATTCATGGGCTCTCACTGCCTCCTCCCCCACTACTTTATCTTTAGTACTGGCAATGTATAAAATTCCACATCCTCATAAATACTTACTTCTGAAGACCATGACACTTCCTCCATCAGGTAAAGACATCCACCAGAAATCCATCAGAAGTACACAGCCACCCCAGTGTTAGTATTTGGGGATTTTTACACTACTGGGATGCTGTCTGCCCCAGTTTTTTTTTGAATTCCAGAGTTCCCATTGGCTCTACTTGCAATTGTCATCTTGACTATTGCAATACCTTTTTTTCAGCTTGGCTTATTTATACACTCATAGCATAGACATGCTCTTAATAACACAGTTATATGACATTATTCTTTTAGTTTCCAATTTAAAGGGCTAATTGGAAGGAAATAAATCAGAAGGCAGCTCTATTAAAACTCTTGCACTTTCAGTCCCTAACAACATATTAATACATTTTATGAGTACAAATAAATTAAAATGCATTTATTTGAAACACTGTGAGTCCTAAACATTATAATTTTTGTGACAAACTTTGGCTTATGTGCAACTAGTAGACGATGTCTGGTGGAGACAAGTTCTGAGAAAGATTCTTTGCCAGATAAAACATACTTTAAAGACGGAAATCAACAGAGCAATACCACTCCTAGTACTGAGAAGCACAAAATAATTGGCTGAATTTCCAGAAGAAAGTCTACCCTAACAGCTGAATTAAGTCCAATAATCAACAGGAAGCAACTCTAGAACATGGGAAGGACACAGTGCTCCAGAGAAAACAAAGTGATTAATTACAAGGCATACCAAAATAACCCTAGAAGAATTTCAAGAGATACAGCAGTTACTTGGAGGTACAGTTTGATACCACATCTTCCTTTTGCCAGTCCATGGTTTTCAGTTCTGTATACAATATTGTTTTCACCCACACCTTATAAAACACAACACAAAGAACTTTCTACCTCTGACAGTTGTACAAGTAGTACAACTTGTACAAGCAAGAGTGAATTTACTCAATACTGCCATAAAAATCATTTGGTCACAGACAAATTAAACTTCCATGCACATGGATGTCATTTGGCTTTCCACTGCTGCTTTCACTTAACAAAAATGTGGAAGTTTAATGTTTTCTTTAAATTATTAACTTCCTCAAAAATAAGGAATGGATGAAGACTTTTTAATACAAGCATTTATTTTTGTGTACTATGAAGAGAATGACCAAGTCAGCTCCAAGACTTACTCAGATCACCTAGAGGTTTCAAGACAGCATGTTCTCCTCCCCATGCAAAACTAATTTGTGTGCCTACTAATCCAGTCTTTTAAGTTTTGTTCTACTTAATTAAAAAACATTACTCCCCTCTAATAGAAAATGCTACTACTTCTAGTGTTTCAGAACTGACTTCTAGCATGTACATATTATTCTATCAACTATCCCTTACTAATGCAAAGAAAATAAGTTCTCAAATAGCAACAGCAAGATTTAACTGTGCTTTCTGTCTGAGCTTTTTTCAAAAGGCCATTATTAGGCAGATATAATGGCAAGTCTTTACGTGCAAGTAGTTGCTAAAGGGAACTGGAAAAGGGAACTGTTCAAAAGGAAAATTAGAACATTTTAAACCCCTTCACATCAGTGCCAGCAGCTGAACAAACCAAAACCTGGACACCCCTGGAGGCACCCTCCCAGCACATTTCCACTGAGCTACCCTGCTTCACTCAATAATCTTCCCTAGCAGGTAACATTCACTCTGAACAATTATTGCCCATTATTTCTCTGTCACAAGCAATACAGCCTCTGAATACTGCAAAGGTCAATCCTCTCACCGAGCATTTGGTCTTAACCAAATGTAATTTCTTCTTTTTCTTTTCTGGGGTCAAGTTACTCATGCAGCTGAGTTTGCCTACCTTTCACATCACAAATCAAAGAAAAATTTATTGAAAACTTTGTCCTCACAGGATTACTATCTACTTCTGTAGATTAGATCTGACAACATTATTTTGGAGGCATTTAAATGAAAAGTCTTAAGATTTTTTCCAGGATTTTTTTTCAAGTAATCTTTGCTCCCTCTCAAATCCGAGATTTAAAACTACATCTTTTAATCCTTCTGTATCAAGTACCTAGAAGTCTAATTTTGAAAGTGCTGATCTCATGCCAATCAGCAGTTTTGCACCTAAATAAAACTTCTTCAAGTTTTATTTAAAAAGTAAAGAAAATCCCAAACCTCTATGCATTCCAAACAACTACACCTCAAATCCAAAGGCTTACCCGTTTCCTTTTTTTTCAAAAGATTGTCCTGGCAAAGAAAACACACCAAACCCTATACAATCAGATTATTTTTTTTTTGCAACCTCCAATGGAAACTAATGCTGCCTGCCCACTTATATCCTAAGAGATTATTGCTGCCATACAGAATATTAACATTATATTAACCTGAAGAACAGAGTGACTGTTTTGAACTACAGTGACAAAGTCTCATGGTGCACCAAAAGAACATACTTAATAGTTTTGCTTATGGGTGGTCCAAGAAATTACATTCAATCTAAGTCAGAGAAATGTGAACAAGCTCATTTTTTTTTTCTTCAATCAGCAGTTCTTAAAAGTAACCCAGCCAAGTTCATTAGACAAGTTCTATTCTCTGCTATTTTGAAGAAGAGCAGACAACTGAAAACAGTAGAAATTTTAGACAGATTCAGAGACACTCCCTCCTCATGTCTCCCAAATGAACTCACAAGTATTTAAGGTAAAAATGTGCTAGACTATGTACTTTTGTACTTTTTAAGGTAAAAATGTGCTGGACTGTGTACTTTTGCTATCTTTTTGTTAACATACTAATTTTCACCCTTGCATAAACACGAATTTTTCTGAAGTGCTGAAAACCTTGGCAAAACGAACGAGGAACATTAAGTTAAACTCTTAACTTAAAATCAACTACACACACTTCTTTCTGCATTCACTGCCTCATATTAACAATGGAAAAAAAAATGCAGTCTTTTTCTAATCTCAGGTACAAAATCATACCTCAGAGATCAGACATATATAATTGGACAGGTGAGGTTTTTTATTCCTTTCAACAAAGAAGAGAAGTCCTGGATACAAACAGTTGCCATAGGAAGCTTCCAAGACCTGTCTGGATAAATTCCCAGCAGCTTTATCTGACCTAATAGTTGACACTGCTTTGAGTAGGAAGTTGGACTAGAGATTTCCTCAGATTCTCTTCAATCTGAATCATCCTATGGATGATACCACAGTAACCTTCTCTAAATTCTGACAACTATACTTATGGCTTTCAGCCTCCCATGTAAGCATAAACTACAGCATTTTGCATCAAATTACTCATTACAATCTTTTTAGCCAGCCATTAGCTGTGAAGCAGGTTTTCCTAAAACACTTTGTATACTAGAAACAAAACTAACAGAAAAATATTTATCTTGAGGATTTGCATGTTTGAATTGAGATATATGTAAATAAAGACAGTGCTAAGCATTCCTGCAGTCCTACTATATACACACACACACTCAGAAAGTCTTATATAAACTGAAAATAGTCAAATCCATTGCAAAATCTCTATGTAGCACCATGGAAGTTTACAACATCTTTTCCTTGGAAGTAGTCTCTTCCATTAATTTACTGCCTTCATTTCTATAACAACACTATTTCCAAAAGCAATGATGACTCATCCTAATGAACACTACCAGGATGAATTAGCAGGAGGCAGTAAGTCCAAGGGCAGACCAAGAGCAGTGGCCTCCAGGATGAAAGTAACACTTTAGAAATGAAGATTCAGATGCCAGAGGAAGATACAGCCTGCTTTCTACAATCTTCCTAATTCCACTGGCTTCACAGGAACTGAATTTAATGTGATTAAAACAGAAGGGAAGTGAAATAAAGTGACTTAAAAAGTCTTGATAATAACTATGTGTCATTTAGATTATGATTTGAAGATGCATATGCATGTTACTTAGGCTGATGTTCTCTTTACAGTACTACATTTTTCAGATTTCAAAAGCTAGTTCTAAAAATAAAACCTGCTAATAAAGCATCATCATAATTTCCATTTTTGTCATATCCCAATGCATTTCACACCAATACAATTCAACTAGTAAACAAGTGTTTCCAGCCATAAAAACCCATTACAGCTACACATACAGAACCTATCTTGCCAAATTAACACCCACTACTAATTACGATAAAAACACGTCAGATATTTTTATGAGAGAGCAACTGAATGCTTTATCTTCAATAGAACGACAGAGTTAATTGCTGAAGATTCTCCACCATTGTGTTAAAAAAATAGTGTCTGCTGCTAAATTAGACCAAGACTTGAGCCACATCATCATTTGCTGAGCCTTTGTGCAACATGCTTTGGTTTTTGGCAATGCATTTAATCCTCTTCTGTTTGCAGAGAAATTCATCTATGAGTCTGGCAATAGAAGAGGTCTTTCAGAACAAATGCCAGAAGGTAATTTAGAGAACATCCAAGTCTCATGCCCTAACAAGTTATGCTACACTGCCTCCCAGTGCTCACCATCTGCCTGAAGATCAAATGACCCTTATTGAAGAATCCATTTTAGACATGAACTATCAGTAATTCCCAAAGGAATTACAACTATCTTAGAGGCTGTTTGCAAAAGCATTTGTTTTGAAAAATTCTAGACAGAACATTATATGGAAATGTAGGATTTAGTTTCATTTTATTTAAAGAAGTTGTGACAGTAAAAACAGAAACCAGGCAAATTCATATGGTGGACTACTTTTCATTGAGTACTTGCACTTGTATAAGGCAGACTTGGGACAAACCAGGATTTCCAAATAATTAATAAAACCCATGAATTTTACAGCAGACAAAATTTCTCTAGGTAAAGGAAAAAAACTTGAATATTTTTATATAAAGTGACCCAAATGAAAGTATTTCAAAGTCAAAACCAAACATAAATGCCTATTGATCTCTGTGGGTCTTGCATCATGCTCTGAAACATTAGTACTTAGAGAATTCAGTCCTCCAATGCTATCCATTCAAACCTCTAGAAGTTATTTCACAACTGTGTAAGTCAAAATGTTCGTATCTGGCTCCCTATTTTTTTACTCAGTACAAACACATGAACACTGCATTTCAGAATATACAACAGTCTAACACAGACAGTAAATAGGCTTATGTTCAACATAATCAACTTCACCATTTCTTTCACAGACCATGAATACACAGTATTTCAGAAAATATTTAAAAAAATATCATCACTTAAAACCTACCATTGAATTTCACTGGGAAAAAGAGGCAGATGCACTTTCTAACGTTTTTAAGATTAGCATTATTCTTGCTGACTCTTAAAAAAGCAGTAGGGTCATTAAGCTCAAACACAGCTTAGCTCAGTCAAACTGGAGGCAGTTCACTTATGAGAAAGGTCAGACCCCTGAAGCTAAAAGGAAGTAAATAAGTGAAAAATTAGTGAAGTAAACAAGTTTGATTTGCTCCTTTGGACAGCATGGAAGAATGACAAAAATACACAACTTACACTCTAACCCTGAATACATTGTTTACAAAAATGGTGTCACAAGTCGAGCTTCTATGAACCACTAGCAGAATGTTTGTAATTTAACTTTAGATATGCAGGTAATTGATCCCATTTGTTTAGAGGAACTAATTAACTGGAAACTAACTAGTTTCACAAATGAAAGTGAAGAAGGGAAAAACACTTACAGCAGTTGGATCCTTCAAATGGAGCTGAGTTGCTGTCACTTGCTTGAAACCACCAGGATAACTAGGAAAACGAAACAAACGTACAAGATTAATTCTACATGCTCAAGCACGATGTTAACAAAAGTATCACTGCATCTTGAGCAATGGTGTAATGGTATTACAGGCCCTCACAAAAGGAAGTTGTTCTCATGAGCCCAAAACCTGTATTTTATTTATCTTGTCAACTATCTAATTTCAACACCATTTGTGCTTTTTTGTTTATTCACTTGAGTATGATAAACCTTGTGCTTCACAAACAGATGGATATGTTTTTAAAACTGCTTATTAAATACACCATAACAGCTATAGAATACAACAGAAATAAGATGCAGAACTCTGAAATATTTCCTAATGACCAAGACTCACAACCAGTTTGTGGCTGACATAAGAGACATCCATTTTGAACTGTGTTTATTATTTTCTTGCTACTCTAAATAAATTTTAGCAAGACTTGGCATATCTACAGTAATAAAATTTTAATTTTACTGCAATGGATCCATCTTTCTAAAGCCTATATGACAAGCTGAAGCTGCACTAATTCAGATCTCTGCATAAGCTTTAAATGAATGATAGCATGGAGTAAGAAATCACATGGAAGTCAGGTAATGCTACATTTCATTTTGATTGAATTACATTATTAGGAATCAGCCTAAGTGAAATGAAAATAGTCCCAGCATCATGAAGACATGTCCACTGAGCTGCATGGACTTAAATATTAGCTTTAAGTGTACAGTTCTTTTTACTTATTCAAAACTAACTTAAGTACTTAAGCAAGTGCTTTACATACATGTTAAGTTTTTAGAGAAAATTTTAGGTCATAGGGGAAATGGAGACAAAAAAAGCACACAATAATTTCCATCACTTTTGAACAAGAATTTCTCAGCGGTTCAGCAATTTCAGGATTGCACCATTAGCACTACAAAATTAGCATTCTCAGTGTAATTTATTCATCTCTCCATTGGATACATTGTGACACTCAGAGATTATTATGAATTAATATCACTGCTTAAAATAGGAGCACTGAAATGATCATCAACTCCACTGTAAACAAGTTATGTCTACCAGAATAATATATTTTACACTACTGTGTATAACAATGTACTCTACATCACTACAGCTTGAGAGCATTTCATTTTTCAATTGTTTTTCCAATTTTTTTTTCATCCTCTGATTCAATATTTATTCTTAGGTAAATAGGTCCTGGTAGGATAAAATAATTGAAGTTGGTGACTCTACAGATATATATATATATATGTAGATATAGATATATATATATATATGTAGATATAGATATATATAGATATATAGATATATCTTAAATGTGCCAATAGAAATATCTTCTATTACACAGTAAACAGAATGGTTCAGATCATTGGGTCCAGAGGTTAACACAAGACACAACCTCATTCACCAAATCTGTTAACTTATTCAATTGTTCTGACTACTTTTGAGTCAATTATTTCCCTACCAACATACACTGGGTATAAAAAAAACCAAAACAAACACAACAAGAAAGAAAAGAAAAAGAAAGGAGGAAAAAGGTTTACACCATTTAAAACACCATGACACATGCAAACAAACAAAAAGTCCCCCAAAAGTTAAAGTAGGAATTCCCTTTTAAAGCAATATGCTAAAAAAGACTTCAATTATTAAGAAAATATGACATAAAATTTACCACAAGCTCATTGCCACAAGCTTTATTTACTATAAAGCTTACCCAGTATGTGAAGAATATACTTTCTGTTCCCATTTGTTGCCAGAGAAGGCAATATGTCTTGTATTTATTATGACAACATGATCTCCACAGTCATCTGCAAGGTAGAAGTGGAAGATATTAAAGAAAAACACAGAGGGGATCAATCAAAGTAACAACTATTATGTGAGCAATACAGACATAGCAACATATGAATACACCTTCCATAAACCTGAAATTTAAAGATCTCAGCTTTTTGAGTCACACCATCCAAATCAGCATTTAAATACCAACGTTAATTACTATTTTTAGTGCTACCAGGTTAGAAGGCAGCTAAGCAGGTAAAATACCATCAGACCAGATGCCTAAACTATTGCAAATATTCAGCTAAGATTTGGAAATCTGGCTTACAGGCAAATTTCTATTCTATTCAACACATTACGCTGCATATGCACCTGCATTTAAAAAAAAAAAAAAAGCAACAAAACAGGAAAAAAAAAGGTTAGTTCCAGATGATCCTAATTTTTTTTTTATTTTACTTTCTCATAAAACTGTATCAGTGTTCAATGAAGGACAGAACATTTTGGGTAACTAAAATACTTCTATTAAATAGTTACATTCTCAGGCTAAATATATAAAACAAACAAAAATATCGCATCGAGGGAAGTGGGGTAAAAGCCCTAAAAACACCACCCCCTACAGCTCTGTTGGGAAAAACCCCACAATTTCATCTATTCAATGGAAGCAAATGTTACAGCATATACACATTTAGAGTTATACCAGCAACTTTAACATCAAAAGTTCTTTAGGTGTGAGGTTTATATTCTATTACCAACATCCTGCCAGAAACAGTTGATTTAATAAGACTTCTGTAGTAATAAAGTGCTAACAGAACCTCTATTATCTCAAAAATATCACATAAATAGGAGAAAAGATGTAGTTTTTAATTTTAGAAGCAATGATCCTGTAATCAGCTATTCAACTGAAGTGAGAATGATTTCTCCAAAGTTCAGCCTCATTTGCATCACCATATTAGAACACAAGTATTTGAAGAGGCTCACTTGATTAAAACATTTTTGAGTAGGTAACAAAGCAAGGCTTAAATTGACCGTGCATTTTTATAGGAGCATGGAATTAATCAAAGCAAGTTTCACACCTTAAGGTTTTTATTAATTTTTAATCTTGTATTCTTTTAATGCTCCACTTTCAATTACAGCTGAAGTGCAAATGCAATATACACACCCTTGCTGCTCCAGCCTTTCACTGCTGACAGTTCAGTTCTAAAAACACTGCATGTCTTCATAAATGTCAGGGAACTGACACTGGACTTTGTGACTTTTTGGTCTTTTGGTTGGGAAGATAACACAATAAGCTCATCTTAAGGACATTTCTGACAACAGTTTTCCACTTGCATGAACACTGAATTAACAATTATCAAATTAAAAACAAAACAATAAAAAATAATCTTCCTGATGTTACTCTGTCCAGGGAGCAGTTATCTTGCAGACACTAAAATATTTGTTAGTTCAAAAAAAGAAGCAAAAGAAGCATCAAGTGCATAAAGCCCAAGTTCCTGCATACTTTGCTTGCCTAAATGTCTCAGTAGCAGTTAGAACCAATTGGTGTCAACATGTGTAAAGCAATTAGTACTGATTTACAGAACATTTTAAACAAATGAAGTTATCCTTGAAATACTTTCTGAGACTTTAGAACTTCACAGACATAAAAGTATCAAAGTTCTTTTGCACAGGGTAACCAAAACATTTTCCTCTCAGCATCTGCTTTATTTCTCAAGACAGCCTTAAGTCTCCAGTGACATCTTGTGGATAGAACAAAATTTGCAACAGCAGAACTGCGACATTTAAGGGTCTTGACAACACTACAAATCCCACCTCCTACTGTGAAATAGATCGAGTATAATTTTACTATGTACACTTCAAGACGTATGAGCCAACTTCAAGGCTTCCTTTATGTTACAGTAATGTCTCTGGAAAAATCTGCGTGGGTATTACAGGAAACATTGTACCAGTGGTGTGAAAGATCAACTTTTTATTATTTATAAAATGCTTATCCTCATGAGACAGCACTACAGCATTACAGGTAATGAACAGGATTACAGATGCATCTTTATAGGTGAATTTCTAATTTGCAGAAAAATAAAATGATGGCTTTGTTTAAACAAGACACCTTTCAACAATGATTGTTGCCCATTAAAGGACAGGTCCCAGCCTCCTCATCACAGAATGTGTGAGGCAGGAAGGCCTCTGAAGGTCATGTCATCTAAACCCAGTGCTCAAAGCAGGACCAGCTTCTGAAAATCTCCACAGATGGAGACTTCACCACCTCCTGGGCAACGACACCCCATTACTCTCAGAGTAAAAAATATCTGATGTTCAGAGTATCCTGTGTTTCAGTTTGTGCCCACTGCCTCATGAAAACAGGACTCCTTGGCATCTTATTCAGAATGAAGCACTCCAAGACTGTGGTCCTGGGCAGCTATTGAAAGGAAGTACTCAGATACTTATTTATGTGCTCTTTGAACTAAATCTTTACATTTAAGATCAACAAAACGTATTGTGAGTTTTTTTAAAAAATGAAGGAAGAGCCCACTGTAATTCAGCTACTCAAAGTGAATTACAAATTCATAACACCCTTCATAGGTATTGGTAAAGAAACAACATTAGGTTGTGAAGGGATACAATGGAAAAAGATAAGAAGGAAAACCAATTAATTTTAAATTTATAAACAATTGAGGAATATAATCTTTTATACAAGGTTTGATTTTAAAACTGAAATTAGAAGAAACAAGCATGTTGAAGAAAAGCAAATTTGCTTTCATTCGTTGCAATACTCACTTAGTGCATGATAAATAGGTTTATGTCTGCCTTCGAGTCTGATTACAGTGGCAGCTGCTAGTTTTCCTGGGGGCTGCATCTTCGCATCGAGGAGGTACCACGCTCGACCAAAAGTAGCCCATTGCTGAAAAGAAAGAGGGTCAGTACTTATGATAGGGAAAACTCACATTGGCGTAATCTATCTTCCTCAATTAAACCAACACTTCTTTTACATTCAAATAACACTAGAAGGAATACTGATACGCAGCACCACCCCTTCAAATAACCTTTAAATGGACGGAGCACTGCGATACACGCACTGCAGGACGATGTACACGGGTAACACCACTGACAGGTTACCGGCACCGAGGGCTTTGTTTCAAAAACGCAGATCTCCTGCTGCAAGCTTCCATTATGGCTACACGAGCCGTAACATCGCTGCAGGACACTGAACGCCCAAGGTCTCCTTCCTTCGCGGTGAAGGGCACAGGTCTGCGAGTCCCCGTCCCCAGCCATGTCGCACACAGCGGTTGCTGCCAGCGGCACCCTCAGGTGACACCGGGGGCAGCCCCGGGGCGCTCCAGGGAGTGGGGGGGGTGGCCTGCGGATCCTCGGTGCCCGCCCGCTCCCTCACGGCCCCGGGGCCCCGTCCCGGCGGCAGCGAAGGCGCCGCAGGCCCGGGGGAGGCCGCGCTCACCTGGGCCGCCCGGCTGTAACTCGCCATGCCGCGCGGGGCGCGCAGGGAGAGGCGGCCGCGGGAAGCGGAAGCGCTGCCGTGCGGAGGGCGGTGCCGGGCGGCAGCGCGGGACCTTCGGAGCGGCGCCCGCCGCGGCCCGGCCGGCCATGGAGCGCTACGTGCTGCTGCTGAGCTGGGCCGAGCGCAGGGCCCAGGGCGGGCCCGCGGCAGCCACCGCCGCAGGTACCGCCGGGGACGGCGCCGGGGCCGCGGGCGCTGGGCCGGGGCGGGCGGTGATCTGGTGTCTGCGGGGCTCTCCTGGCTCCTGCCCCCCTAAACACCCCTTTGCTTTCGGGCTGAAAGTCTTTGGTGCCTTTAACCTGCAGAAACTTCAGGGGGGTTCCTGCTTTATTGCGATGGTGCCATGTAACTCCGTAATGCGTTCCGGAGCGTGACTTAAAGGAGAATTTAGGAAAACTTGTTTTTTTAAACTGCTTATCTGCCGGCGATAGTTCTGTTAAAAACCCCAACCAGTCCCTTTCCCCTTCTTCCCTAAATTCACTTTCTAATATCACACTGAATTTTATATGCATTTGCAAGAAAGGAAGATTTAACTTTCATAATTCAGTAGTTTTAAGTTTTATTTTCTTTTTCCAGCTGGGACTGCTGCAGACATGTATCAGTTCCTGAAAGAAAGTTGTAATGCATCTATAAATGCAGATGTGGGCACATTCCCAGGTAAATACGGCAATGCACAGTGAGGTGGGGCAAATGCTATTGAGGAATTGGCCTATGCGTGTTCTGCTTGGGGAGACAAGTCAGAAATTCAGGTAAACCCAATTGCTGTGGGGTGGGCCTGTTCCTGCTGCTCCTGTTGCTGTAGAGAACCTGACATCATTTCAGCAGCTAAGGTGTTAGGAGATGATTAGATTGATTGGTTCTGAGAAATTAAGGGGAAGGGTTTTGAAGAGTTGACAAATTTCAGTCCAGTTGAGCAAGGAAGAGTAGGAAAGGGCTTGACTCTCAGGTCAGTGGGAAATGGGATATTTTAGTTACTCCTATAATGTCTTCTAATTTTTTCAGTAGAAATAATGCTTGTCTGTTGGGTAACAATTCAGAACCTTAATCCATGAATATTAAATCATTTTTTTAACTTTAGAATAGATGTCTTAAGGTCTGCTTTAGTACTTTTAGGGGCTGTGTGTTTGTGTTTTGTTGTTTTGGGGTTTTTTAATCAAAAAATGCTTTCTTAGTTCTTTACTTGGTTTGGATATCTACTGTTATAAGCTTATCTTGTCACAGATGTCATATAATTGGGATTTATGTGGGAAAACCACTGTAAACTCTTAAAATTCATGAGATGGGAATGTTAAGCTGTTTTCAAGTTCTGTGCTTTTTATTGCATAGAAATAATGATAGAGCATCTCATTTTGTGAACTCTAAATCATATTTCTGAAAGGTGTTATTTAGTTCAGGTCTGATACAGATGGTCCAAAGAGAAAGCAGTATTACCCAGAACAGAAAATAGGTCAAATGTTTTCTTACTTACTGAGAAAGTGCCAAAGGAAAGTAGAACTCAAGTAATTGTTGCACAATAAATGACTTACAGAGTCTTTTAACAGAGATGTTCATTACAATAAGAAGAATAGATTATAGTGAATTGATTAATTTAAACAATTATTTTATCTCTTTGCAGCTTGCTCGGTGGCTGGTATTCCAGGTGCAAAAAAATGGTATTTTGCAAGTCATGTCATTTGTGGTTTTTATCAGGTAAGACAAATTCTTTTAGAGTATAAGTTCCTCACCATCTGCCTGTAGAACAAGCTAAAACTGTGATGTTCAAAACTCTTTTTGCTTATTTAAGTCTTTTTGTTTGATTAGTTCTGCAGTTCTGACTGGGAGGAAATAAATGTTGACACACAGAAAAATGAAGACTCTTACCAAGCAAGCATTGATGAGAACCTGGGAACCACACAAAGTTTTGAGGAAGATGACAGTAACAGTCAGGAATCACTGTCTCTGACTGAGTATGTGTATTATTATTTTTATTTAAAGAACAGTGATCTGACATCTATCAGCAATGACCCAAGGGGATCAAGAAGGTTTAACAAGTGAGAGTTATTACCAAAGCAGAAGTTAACTATGAACAATCCCCTACTAGCACTGGAAATACTTTTATTTTGTTTAGCATAGCTTTAATTTTTTACAGAAGATTTTACAGGATAACTCAATAGTTTCCTAACAGACAATGTTCTATATACAAAAATTTCTTGCTAATTCCTTTTGAATCCTAATTCCAGTTTTACTTCAGATTATTTTGATGTCATTAGTCCTACTTCTGTCTTAGTAAAAGAGGAGATGATTTCTCATAGCCTAGGTATGTTTGTGCAGAGTTTTAAAGATGTAAGATACATCAAGTACCATTCATTAGTTTTAATGTTTTGTTTCTGAATGACTTTGTTTATATTTTGGTTCCAAACATGTTGTTCTTCATTTTTAGTATCTATGATGAAGCTGCTGAAAGTCTACATCAATTAGCTGATAAATTGCCTGCCCCAGGTAATCTGTCTTTAAAAACCAATTTCATTAGACTTTATCTTGTTTGGTAAAGGGATAGTGAATGGAAAAGTTCAGAGAACCTTAGTTTGGTAGCTTGAAGGTAGTTTAGGAATTTGAGCATGGTTGGCATTGCAGATCAGTTTGAGGACTAGTTTGCTGCTTGTTTCTTTGACAGGCTATAGTTCAGTAGAGTTTAAAATAGCTATATAATAAATTGGTCTATCTGAAATGACACCAAAGTAATCATAGACAGTAAGCAATACAAAACTCAACATCTTCCTTTTTTTATAAGAAATTTCTTGTGTTGATATCAGGCTTACATCTGATTTAAAAGCTTGTGAGCCAAGAAGATGAGGAGGAAAATACATCACAAGTGTTGGATTGGGATTTTCTAAACTGGAGATACATATCACCTTGCATGTTAGGGTTATACAATGATGTAGAAGTTCATTTGGGATAACAAAGGAACTCAAGAAGAATGAAAAATAGCAGCTTAGAGTGTTAAAAGCAGGAAAAGGACATAGCTTAGTTGTACAGGAGAGAAATCTCATCTATCAGTGCTGAATGAGAGAGGAGAAAGGGACAGAACTTTTCATTGTCACTGAGGGAATGGTGAAATATTTTGTGTTCATCAAAGAGGAGCAGCAAGTGATGAGTTAAAATGTATGAAAAGTGTTAAATCCTGTAGTTACTTGATCTTTTTGCTGGTTTTAGTGCAATCAATGATAACCAATACTATTCTATCCTTAAATGACTGAAAAATGTACTGAATCATGATATTTGAATCATACACAACTATTTTATAGGCAGAGCAATGGTTGATGTAATCCTGCAGGCTGTTGAATGTGATGGACCCAAGTTAAAGGACTGCTTACCTGCTATTGGTGCCCTGAAACACCTGAGAGAGTGGCACTCTGCACAGATCACTATTGCTGCAAGTGATGCTAAAGGGTATGGCATTTATTTCAGGGCTAAAACAAGGTCACTTCTGCTTTGTGTTAGCATGGATCAGTGGGTTGAAATAAAAACAGCTTGTTGGGTACTTTACATGTTTACTTTGAAAATACATAAATTAGTCGTCTGCTGTTGTATGAGGGGAGGAATTACTCATTCTGATTAATTGTAAATGCATGTCCTAACCACAGAAGCAGGCAAAAAAGTCAGTCCTCTGCACTTTTTGTTTTCTGTGGGAGCAAAGAGTAAAATATTTTCTCTTCCCTTTCCATGGGTTCAGTGTGCATACAATGTTTTCACGTTGTATTGTGCTATGGGATAACTTGTATATTGATTGTAGTTTTCCAGATTTTTTAAAGTAAATCCATACTACTGCTGATTTTAATTTAAATTTTATATTTCCTTTGGTATTACTTTTCAGGGAGGAAAAGTAGAGTGCCTCATTTGTCCCTTTTGAAAAAGGAGTATAAATGCTCTATTACTTCCTGTATGTTTTTCAAGATTCTGTTAGTATGAAGAGTTACTGAGACTATTAATTCAAGTTGAAATCAATTCCAGTAATTTACTTACTGTCCTCTAATTGACATATAAAGTTCATGATATATCTCACCATATAAACCACAGAGATTTGGGGTTTTTATCCTATTAAGTGAATGATTGTGCGGATACTGAACAACTTGGCAAGGTCTCCACTTTCCTTCCCCTCCATGTCCAAAAGATTGAAATTTGCTTCATAGAATACATGGTTAAACTTAATCCTAAATGAATAAAACTGTTTTAAAAGGTGCATGTTCAGTCCTTGGATAGAATAAGCAATATACCTACTATACAGTATCTCCTGAGGTGTGTGGAGGACAGGAAAGTTACTCAGTGACTTTCATGAACGCTTGATCTCAGTGCTCATTGATATCATCCTGTGGAACCAGCTTTTGACTGAATACATTTTTCTGCTGCTTTTTATGTAAAGTGAGATTATTTGAGTGTAGAAGATCTCTGATTAGTTATTTCACTTATTCTTCCTGTTCTGTTGATGGTGCTGATTTCCCTTGGGAGACAGACTGCCAGCAGAACCCACAGCTACTGGCTGTTCTCTCTTGTTGAATTTAGATAATGCTTGTGCTGCAGTCATATCTGCATTTAGAGGGTTAACTACAAACCATATGGGCAGACCAGTGATAGCCCCACTGATGGCTGCCAGGCTTTGCTGCAGCTTCTAGCACCCAACATTACTGTGCTGTGCTTGCAGCTTGGCATTGCCAGCCTTATCTGATGTCAAAGTTCTTTCCTGTCACTTCCATGGAATATATGAACAACTTCCTTTACAAGCCCTGAATGAGCAATTCTATAATATTTTTTACTTTGTGGAATGTAGAGCTTTTATAAAGCTTTGTTGTCTGTCCTGACATACACAACATTGTTATGTGCTAAGAGGTCATAGGTGAATTCAGCCAAACTGCACTGTATGTTTATTGTAATGTTAAATTCAGTAAGATTAATTCTTTGATATTTTTACAGTAGCTGGCAAAAGATTGCAGACTATCTGTCAGCAGACTTCGTATCTTCAGATGATATAAT